TCAACCTCATTTTTATGTCATCTCATGGCCTATTTAATACTTTTTTACATTACACTGAAGTATGAATTAGTTATTTCAATCACAGTGTTCAACAACATCCAACACTTTTTACAAATATTCACACTTAACATTTAAAAAAATGTAATATTGTCGTTTGCTTTTTCGCAGCATTTTCCTTTTTACGGATATCCGTACGAAGCCTACATAATATTAGCTTGTCACTTAATAAACTGTTCTCTTCACTCTCAATATATTCTAGTAAGGATTCCAAATGATTAAGAGCAGCACCATGCGATATTTTCTTACTAGCAGCACTGTCCACCTCTTCCTCATTCTCACGTTCTTCCCACTCATCTGGCTGCACCCCCACTGAACTTACGATTTCGTCACTGCTTAACATTTCGAAGCCTGGCTCACATGAGCCACAGTCAAACCACTCTCTTATATTTTCCTCATTGACTTCTACACCACCATGAACTTGGTTAGCCAATTTTGTCAATTCTGTGGCTATCTCATTTTCACTGAATCCAGTGAATTCATGGATTTCGTCATCTTCATTAGTGATGAAAGGCATCAGTTTCTTCCATGAATTTTTCAATACAGATGGCTTTACTGTATCCCACGCTGTTGAAATCTTGTATATGGCATATGGCATATGTGCTTGTTTAGCACAAACTGCTCCTGTTATTGTTGTTCCCTGTGCCCTTAGTTGATTAAACCAGATCAGCATTGCTTTGTCGAGATCATCATACTTTGATTTTTTCATGGTTTTTTTCTTCTTCATTCTGCTTGAATTAGAAGACAAAACAAAGGAAATTAATTGATTCTTTTGTTTTTTCAAATCACAAACAGTTTGTTCTCCAATACCGTAATGCATTGCTAATTGTTTAACTACACCTCTTTTTCCCTACTGATTGATAATTTCAGATTTCTGTTGAATACTTGACACAACACGCTTCCTTTTACACCCTGACATTTTGCTAATGCACTTGAAGATCGATACAAAGAGACTAACTGGGACGGTGTATCTCTCCTTGAAACTTTCCACAAATCCTTGCATTCTTTCGCCCCTACCCTAGAACATTGTGTTAGCATAATGGGACCAAAAAATGCAGAGCTCGGTTCACACTAGTGCGAAAATAGTGTTACAACTCACCATGTGAAACAAAAGTGAATGAATATTAAACAACATATAAGCCTCAAAAAAGCCCTGATTAAGCCACAAACCAGTTTATCTGCCCCCGGATAATTGAGAGTTGAGTGTAGCTCATAAATTGCAACTGTGTGTGTGCACATGCCCAATGTGTGAGGTTGTGCTAGGGTAGGGTGTTGGCCTTCTCAGAAGAAATTCCTTGGTTTGAGACCACCTGGATCCAGTGAACTGTTGCATACGCTGTTGTTACCGTTGCATGCCCCTGATTGAGACAGATGAGCTTTTGGTATGTAAGAAATAGTGGGTGCTCATATGGTTTGGATCCCTTGTTAGCCTGCAAGTTCCACCTGCTGACCATAATGATCTCCTGTGTCTTTGTCATGGTAAAGTGAGGCACAATAGATCACTGTGGTCACATTGCAAGGGCCGAGAAGGCCCACCCCTTATACATTCATTCATTGTCATTGGTAAAATAAAATTCTGCCTACTGCATGCTCCCATAAAATAAAAAGTGATGATCATAGACTGTACCTGGAGACATAAAACATAACACAATAAAAAAGCTTCCACAAATATAATTACTTACCTAAGTCATGAGATTTTTCCAAACACGAATTTAAAGCTCTATTGTAATTTAAAACATTGACCGTAATTCTTATTATACGTCAACTGCATTCATAGTGCCTTTTGGGTTGTTTGTTATGTAGCATATATATATATATAGTGAACATCAAGAAGTTTATTTGTTAATAATTTACATGCCTTGTTTACAGCTAATCAAACCAGTCAGCCAACTGAGAAGGAGCGCAAAGTGCGTGATGAGTATGAACGTAAATTGTCAGAAATGCAAAAGGAGATGAAAAGACTTCAATCAGCAAAGAAAGAACATGCAAGGTTACTTCGCAACCAGACTCAGCATGAAAATCAGGTGAAGACACTGAAGAATGACCTGGCAGAAATGAAACGTGCAAAGGTGAGTTTATTTTCTTGAATGGTTGAATCTCCCTTACTGTATATATTTTTAATATCCAACTTCCACAAGTCACATCTCCAGGGAGTACCTTAATTCTCTGCTGTATAATATAAATTTACTGTGTCTTGACACTATCAGGCTAATTAACTTTCAAAGAAAATTAAAAACTTAATGGCAGCTTCACCTATTTTATCAAGAGACTGTTGCAAAATCAAACATAGCTATGTGATACTTTAATGAGAGAGTCTTGCACTCACTTTTAGTCTTTGTTTCAATAGAATTATATCTGTGTCTATGTGCTTTTTGTGAGGTAGTAGTTCTGAAAGTCAGTGTAGTGTTGAAAGATCAAAATTAACTCCAGACTGTGTATTTTGTCTGAATGCATGTTATTTATTTTACCATCAGTAACCGATTCCTGCCACATGTACTTCTTCAAAATACTGAGACACAGTACAAGGCACAGATACTGTCAGTGACTGATTCCTGCCACTTGTATTTCAATCAGACTGTTGGGATGCAAGATGTGTACTCTCAACAACTGATTCACAATAGTTGTACTTCAGTCAGAATTATGTGTCATGGGCAATGGACTTGTACTGCCAATAACTGATTGCTGTCATGTGTACTTCAGTCACACAAGACAAGATATATGGTGGGGCACAACGTGGTGAATGTGTACTATTGATGACAGATTGCCAACACTTGAACTTTAGTCAGAATAATGGACAAAGGTTTTGTACCTTTGGTAGCTGATTCATGTGAGTTCTTTGTCTATAAGAATGGGGGAACACAGGACAGGGTCATTCCATGTGAAATCATCCAGAAAGGTCGCTCACCATTTTTAAAAAAAATTATATTTTGTACACTTATTTATACATATTTTCATACTACAAAAAAATTTTTAAAAAAATTCTAATCCGCTCAGTTCTCTCGGTACAGGCGTTTTTATAATGCGAAAAAACGCGTTTTCGGCTGAAATGGAGGTTTGCGTTATCTTCCATATCTCGATAACTATTGAAGCTACAGACTCCAATAAAAACGCTATTTGTTCCTCATGATATGGACTACAAATCATATTATTACAAGTTTTTACTCAGCTCACTTTCTGTAGGTGTAATTAAACTTGAAANGACAGTAAACATAGTACTGTTGATGACTGATTCCTTAAATAAAAAAGTATCTGGTCTTCTAAATTCTGTTAAATGGCATGCTAAGAGGCATTTGGCCCAGTGATCCAAAAGTTTCCTGATTCCATCAGAATAAAATGTTTTCAGTTTGCCCTTTTCCCATTCTTGTATCACTTCTTGCCATGAGTTATACTCATTTCTGAAGAAATCTCATCACTGCTGATTCTTTGGCTTTCCTGGATGCATTTACACTTCATGCTATACATGTCAGTTGCCATCCAGAATGCACACCAACAGCAATGCTTGTCCAACCTCCTTTGAATCTCAGTTCATTTGTAAACTTTCTTCTGTCTCTCAGACTTATTTCTATACTGAACTATAATTTTTCTGTTAATTTTACAGTTTTGACACCTTACAGTCACAAAAATTGAATCACAGATTGATGTGCTTTGTGCAACGAACATGTAAATATCAGTGTATTAAAAGTAACAATGATACATAGTTGATGTCTGTAGTGCCGAAAATGAAATTGTATCATCTCTTTCATTCTCAGGTAAAACTTTTGAACAAGATGAAAGAAGAAGCAGCAAAACACAAGGATGTGGAACTGCGCAGAAATCGTGAAATTGCACAATTGCGCAAGGAATCTCGGAAGAGGGAAAACACAATTCGATCATTGGAGGCAGAGAAACGGGTGAAAGAAGCTGTTTTGAAACGTAAGCAGGAGGAAGTTACTGCTCTGCGCAAAATGCAGCGTGGACCACTGAGCAATAAGGCTGCTGGCAGAGTTGGACCTAGACATGGTAAGTTCCTGGAGAATTTGTGATTATTTATTCAAAATCCTTCTCTCTCCAGATTCTTGTCATCTATGGTTCTTTCTGTCATTGCTGTGTTTGAGGCTTTACTTAAAGTTCAGGCCTGTTAGTTTTTTTTTTTTTAAGAGTTTAGTATTTCAAATCATAACCCCTATCAAACTCTGTGGAGAAGCACCCTTGAGGTGGTGGCTTAGCTGCAAAGAAACGCCCACTCTCAATTGAACCCAAAGGTTGCTTGCTGTGTTCATAAGGTCCTATCATCTGTACTTTCTGTCTCCCAAGTGATCTCTTCCTTTTGATTTTCTGATTCAAATTTTATATTCATATCTCATCTCTCATGTGCATTCTACCTGTCCTTCCCTTCTCATCCTGCCCAATTTGATAACCTTAATGATATTTGGTGAAGATACAAATTATAAAGCTCTTTATTATGCCCTTTTCTCCATTTCCCTTTCCTTCCCCTGTCTAGGTCCGAATATTCTCATAAACATTTTGGTCGCAGACATCTTCAGTCCATCTGTAGTCTTCTCTCAGGTTGAGAGACCAACTTCTGCATGTTTAGTCTTTGGGTGCTTAGGTTTGAAACAGAAATAGATATGTTGTATGGTTATTTTAGTGTATTTATCTCTCTGTATTGTAATATAGGTGCAGAGGGTATGAATATTTTGTGCTGTAAATCAAGTTAATTGAATACAAATGGGAACTTTGTATCATCATTTATGTTTCTCTCAGATCATCTAAAGTATTATTATTCATGTTAAGTCACTGCATCTTTTTATTTGTTTTCTTTATTTGACTACTATTCTGTGTTATAAACAGCTTCAAAGAGACTAAGTGTGACACCAAAAGAAGTGAAACACAGATGGCAGCAGTTAGAGAAGAACATCAACAAGATTGCTCTTAGCAAGCAAATGGTTGCATCCATGGAACGTGATATGGAGAGGTACTGAAGCATTTCATTTTTTTATGCCATCTTTGTTCATAGAAGTTTGTTCTGTGGCAGATTTTATAAATATTCAGTCTGTTATCTATAGATGTGTGGAGTATAAATATTCTTCATGCAGAAGGCAGTATGTGCCAAAGAGGTTAGCTCAATGGCACCATACTTCATCTTTATAAAGTACATGGTTTAAACATGTTTCCTTTTAGCTGTCATAGTTAAGGTATTTTGTGATTTTCCTCAGTCAGTTTGCAGTGCCTACAAGTTTTTAAAACTTAAAAACTTTAATATACCAAGAAAGTTGCTGTAGTTGTGGAAAAGTTGGATTTTGTCTATATTGTGCATTACAAACATTGTATGTATATGTATTTTAACACTCAAAACACCCATTGTGATAGTAGTTTCCAAAAAAGTATCGATGTCCTTCTGATGATGGTCTATAGGGACTGAAACATGTAAGGGTGCTAAGTTTCCAAGTAATAAAAACTTCAATAGTCACACTGGACGGAGTTGTTTTGTCTTTGTAGGATGTTCTGTATTCGTAAATAAAACAAAGGCTGTGCAAATTTGGATGTAATGTTAGAGCTGTATAGCAAACTATCTGACATAAGTGAATAATTTATTTTTCAAAGGACTGGAAATACAAGAGAGAAGCATGTTAGTATTTTTCTCCCCTCATAAAATAGGATTTGTCTTTTCTGTTTCTCATTTTATTGGGGTTTTGTAATTTAAAAATAGCTTTGAAATGTGCAGTTAAATGAACATGTACTGGACTAAGGTTGAGATGCCAGTGCCTCATCAAATAATACTAATTGTTGTATTGTGGTACTCTGGTTAATGGATTGCTGAATTCCAGTAAATTTTGTTTAATTATGAAATCCCAATGAAGGAAGAAACAGAAGAGGTAAGCTGTGTTTTCTGAGGGCTGAAAACACACATATATCTTTCCCTCTTGCAACTCAAGTATGTGTACTTCATGTATATTAAGTAGTTTGCTGTACAACTCTAAGTGCACATCCAAATATGCAGTTTTTGCTTCATTTAAAAATAAAAATTATCTATAGCCCATTATATAATTGAGATATTTTAATTATTTTATTTATGGAGCTGAAACGTTTCATGAAGATTTTGACATTTTTTTTTTTAAATGCAGGAATACACTACTCAGAGACCAGTACTTGTAAATTACAGAATACTTGTGTTCTTACATTCTTGGTAGGCATTGTAAATACAAGGATCATGCAGATGCCTTGCTATAAAGAACGACAACTTACTTTCCTTTCATTTCAAGATTATTGCATCACTTAACAATCCACCAGAAGAGTGATGTAATGCTGTGTAATTTGATGGATCACTTGACGTTCACTGGACTGCATGGTCTCATGTCTCAGAAGATAGAACTCTGCATAGCCAGCCCTGTGAAAATCTCTTATCCAACCTGATCCACCAATTTTCTCCACTGTCCTGTTAATATAATTGTCCTAATAAGTGACATAAACATGCATCTAGAATGTCTAGTAGAGATTATCTGTACTGTGATACTGTGTTGGAATACTGATCCACAGTCCTGATACTGACTGCTTGCCACTAATCATAATAGTATAAAAGTTTAACATTCTTAGAACTCTGTGTAGATGACTTGCCCTTAATATGTGGTCTTGGTATTCAGGCAACTGCAACAGCGAGAGGAACTAGGAACATCTTTGGACCAGTTGATGCGCCGCAGAGACCATGCCCTGATAAGTCGCCAGGATCACTCAGTTATCCGTGACTTGGAGGATCAGATTGAGAGCATGAAGGCTAACATCGATTATATCCAAGAAAGCATTGCAGAGTCTCAGGCAAATATAATGCAAATTGAAGAGAGCAAGGTTTGTGTTGGATTTTTATTTCTTTCACTCTTATTTCTAAAAACGTTTTGGATCTATCTACATAACAGTTCGAGAAAGTGGTAAATTAGATCCCATTCAGTGATTTTAATTTGTGATTTTCTATATGATTTAAGTAGTGTCTGTACATTTAATACATTTTCTTTTTCTCAAAGCTAGAAAGGTAAATTAAGTACAGTTAACCCCAGTGCAAGGGTCAAGAGCAGAGCATTACGTAAATCCATGTTGGGTACGCTTAATACTTCCTGGGTAAAACTGGGATAAGTGAACATGGCTGCATAAAGTTTTCTGTTCGTACTTAGTAAATTGGATTTTTTAAACATACATGCACACGTACACAAATGAATACCTATATTACTCTGTGTTGTCAAAAGTGACAGAGCCTTGAACTTGCATTATGTGACTGTAGACTATTCAAGTGTAAATAAACTAAAATATGTTGAGAACTCATGGTCCATAGGTTGCAGGATCAATGTGGTGACAGGAGTAAAAAAGTTTCATTGACATTGGGAATGAATTGCACTGTTTTGGGACTGTTACTTGTGAAAGACTACAGATATTAAAATTTTCCATATTTGGCCAATAATTGTTTATGTTTTTTGTGTGTGTAAGGAAATTTGTGTTAAACGAGTGCAAGATAGACAAGGGTTTACTGTGTTAGAAACTGGAGAGCTGTGAGTGGAATAAAGAAACACTTTGTCTAGGACGTGTAGAAATGAATAGATATATTGTCTGCATCTGAAAAGTTGACCATCTCGATGTTATCTGTTGTCATTTTTTCTCTTATTATGTCTTTGGTAAGTGCTTATAGTTTTATGACAAATAATATTTACTCCTGTAATTGAAGTGATTAATATTTTAGGGGAAGGATGCAATTCTCCAGACCAATGGCAGATTTCGAAAGGATTGCCTTCTCATGAGCAAAGTTTCATCATTATTGCTGCGAATGGTTCTTTTCTTAAACACATCTTGCAGTAACAAGTGAAACTGCAGAATGATACAGTAACAAATGACACATATTTTTCTACTGCAGTAGGCTGTCTTGGTTTAAACTGTTACAGAAAGTAATGTACTACTGTCATATCAGCAGTCATCAGGATTATATGGACATTATACATTACATACATTTTTTCCCATTTTGTTATTTGTGGTCAAAAACAAAGATCTATTTTTATCTAATTCTGCGATTCATACAATCAACACAAGACACAGTAATAACCTCCATTATCCCTCATGTAACTTAACTGTCTTTCAAAAGGGAACATATTATTTTGGAATTAAAATTTTTAATAAACTTCCACCTAATATAAAAGAACAAGCTCGTGAGATTAAAAAATTTAGGTCTGCTGTTAAAAAATTCCTATTTTTAAAGTCATTTTATTCATTGGACGAATATTTTAACTGTGACAACAATTAAAGTTTCGGATTTGTTACAGGTGATAGCTGATAGCGCCTTATTGTTATAGATAATGGTTTTTGTTTCATGTTGTATATTATTAAATTTAACTGGTATGACATCACACAGCTGTGTTGCAGTATGTGATTCACTCATGTTGACTATTTCTATATCCATTGGTGTTAAACCATGTAAGGATTTATGGAATGCTGAATGAATGAATGAATGAATGAATGAATGAATGAAAGGATATATGATTGTATGAAATGTTTACATTTGAGAAAATTTAGTGTGATACATTGTTCTGAAAGATTTGGTCGCTTTTCCATGTGCTCATTTAGCTACTTTTATTGCATTTTGTACCTTAGAGTTTTAACTGACATGGAATTTACAGGAGAACTTGGACACTCTGGATGTAGCAGGCTTGGCACAAGGCCTTACAGAGATGGAGTCAAGGTATCTTGTTGAAAAACTCTATAATATGACTGTGAACCAAAGTTATTCAGCTGCACAAAAGGAACTTGCTGTCAAAGAGATGGAAGCTAAGCTCAATGAGGTACTGCATTTTGAAATTACTGTAACCTTAACCCTTTCCCAGGAACACTGAGCATTGCTCTTGGCTGGAAGGCCATTTCAAAAAGGATATGATGATATTTTGTTCAGTTTGTACAGATGAAATCTTTTAAAAAATAACTTCACACAAAATGCCTCCTTATCTTTAGATATCCAAATTCTCTTAGTTGAAATACTGTTATAGAGAAGTCAGTAGTATTGAGGAAGCAGCCCCTTTAAGGTGAGAGCTGGCCAGGACAGGAAAAGACATAACACGGTTGCTGCATCATCATGCTTTTTACAGTTGCTAGCTATGGCTTGTGTACAGATTCAGCCATTTCGTTGTTAGTTTTTCCAATGGGTGATTGTTGAGTTTGGTTAATTGTTCTTGTGTTTGTGGGCAAGTCAGTTATGTGGTCATTGCAGCACAGTACAGTGGAATTCTCATAGGTTCTAAAGGAAGAGCTGACCACAACTTTCTGACCAAAAACAGAGGCACACACCAACTTGAGGATCCAGTACATAAAATGGTTGCTTCAGTACATAACTTCATTGTATTGCTGCAAGAAAGTGGCTATCAAACGGAATTTTGATGTAACCAATTGGTGCTCTGCTGACAGTTTATTCTTATTTTGTTTATTTGTTTGTTCATGTAAAGGGCACATGGTAGCGTAGTTGATTGAGGCACTATGCTACAAGCCAGAAGGCCACAGGATCAGATTCTGATGAGGTCATTGGATTTTTTCAATTGACCTAACCCTTCCAGCCACACTATGGCCCTGGGGTTGACTCAGCCTCTAACAGAAATGAGTACCAGGAATATTCATGGGGGTAAAGGTCGGCCGGTGCGTAAGGCTGACAACCTTGCCGCCATCTATGAGCCAATTGTCTAGAAAATGTGGGCACCTCAACATCTCACAACCCTATGGGCCTCCACTGTCTGTTACGGGGATATCTTTACCTTTTTGTGTTCATGTAATAGCAGCTAAGACTGATATCTGCAGCATTGGATTTCTGTTTTGTGATGGGCAGTGCTTTCATGCTTCAAGTATTTTACATTTATAGTCTGTGTATGTCTGTGTGAGGATGAGGTGGGCAGGGCATGTAGCATGAATGGGGAGGAATGCATATAGAATATTGATGGGAAAACCAGAAGGAAAGAGAGCACTGGGAAGACCAAGGCATAGGTAGGTGGACAATATTAAAATGGATCTTAGATAGATATGACGGGATGCTGTGGATTGGATTGATCTGACTCAGGATAGGGACCAGTGGAGGTCTCCTGTGAACATGGTAATGAACCTTCAGGTTCCATGAAATGCTGGGAAATTCTTGAGTAGCTGCACATTTGGCTTTCCTCAAGAAGGGTTCACCTCCATTAGTAAGTAAGTAAGTCTGTGTGTGCTGAATGAGTGTGGCTGTACTAGACGTTTGCATGAAGCAGAAGCAGTGTGCTGCACTGCTGTGGTGGGGGCTGGAGGAGCAAAAGGGACAGAAATCCACTGATCAGTCATTGCCCAATGTGCTCCAAATTTAATTGTCTGTGGACATGGATGGCCATCCCAGCATGGCTGCATCAGCAGACTGGTTGGACTGCTTTTACCATTTTGATCTGCTTGCATACATTTCATTTTTACAAACTTTTGTGTTCATATTTAGCAACCAATCATTGAACGATTTCTGCACCTTTCACATGTACAGCACATCACAATACAACAATAATTACATAAATTAAATGTCTGTTTAAGGTGACCCTGCATGCTTCACCCTAAAGTTGTCATCAGGGTTTCCTCATAACAAGTGTTGGCTATCAAAGTTTTACATAGATATGTAAAAGGTAAAGGTAAAATTCTCCATGTGCTCAATGAATTAAGCACTACACCATGAAGGTGTATGGAGGAGTGGATGTATAGATCCACATTTTCTTGACTTTGGCACCAGCTGGAGGTAAGCTGTCAGCTTCGCATTGCTGCCACATTACCGCCAGGGAAAGAGACCCCAGTACCCACTGGATAGGAGGTTGGGTGAATCCTGGAGCCGATCTGGACGATCTTGAGAAGTGAAAATTCTTGACCCTACTGGGACTCGAACTCCGATCCCTCAGTCGTCCAGCCCATAGCCAGTTGCTATACTGACTATTCTACCCTGATTCCTACATAGATTTATATTGAAATATTTCATTTTGCTCATAAGAATTATAAACTGTTATATGTCCTGATAGGAAGAGGGCAAAGATACAGTCACATAATTTCCATATACATTTACATTTATAGTCTGATTATTTCTTGTAAGATTTGAGGCTTTCACGGCAGTGACTATGAAGAAAGCAGTCTTCTGGGATTTGGCACCGTGTGTATGTGGGTTAACACCACATGATTATTCATGATTATTTCTTGTCACAAATTTTCTGATATATATGCAAATTTTAAAATTAGTCACATCAGACACTCCACACTAAAATCATGATATCAGTAATGCAGTACTTCTTAGAACCATGCACCGCGCCCTTCCGCTTCCTCTCCACTGATTACTATAAATCACCATTATTATTATTACGAAGAGGAAGGGCACAGCGCAATCGTTACTGGCCCTATTGTTGGTTCCCACGCTCCCCTAGATGGAGATGGGGTATCCAAGCTAGGAGGAGGAAGCTACACTCAGTCGTTGGCTTAGATAAAACCAGATACAATTTAATAACAAAATATAACAATACATAAATAACAAAAAGACACATTTGACCAAGAAACAAAGACAAGCTCATTTAGACTAACAATTTCCCGTCAGCACCACTTGTGTCGACGCTAGAAATATCAAGACGTTAAGCCCTCCGGCCATACAAACGCAAGTCTAAATTCTGAGACTAAAAACCAACCCAAAACCAATACGCGCGTCGCAAGCGTTCCTGCAACGGCTTGCGACCGCGGGCAGTCCTTACCGGCCAGCAGATAACACCAAAGGGAATTTAGAACAGCCCCAGCCGAAACCAATATTTTCCACCACAAACCTGCTGGCTAGTAAACAACCTTCCAAGTCGACTTGGTCTAAACGACTGCACTGCACAAGTCTCCCCTTCACAAGAGGGTACCTGGGACCACGTGACTGACGTCAGGATACCGCATAGTGGGGATGGAATCCGTCACAGGAAAGATGATGACATCATTGTGAGCGAGCTAAAGCTTAGCACGGCTCAACCATGCTGATCAGTCCTTTTTCTTTCAAAATTGTTTTGTAATTTTTAACTATATCAGATCAAAGTTTCTATATATATATTTCTTTTTAAACATTTTTTCCTTAGATTCAGATTATGTAGTTAAATTCTTTTATCTTCTTCATGTACTCTACAAGTCATGTATTTTATCACAGTCATTTTTCCAGGTCAAATTTCATTCCCATCAAATTTTTGTAGTAACTTACATTATTCTTTCTTGCCATAAATGTGTGTTATATGCTTTGCCATAGAGCTTTCCATCATTTCCTGTTCCTCACAAATTAACATTGCTGTCTGTGGATGTTGCCAGCTCAAACAGCAGAACAGCACACAGCAGCAGCTGTTGGAGCATTTGTTGAGTGAGCGAGCGGCAAATGACAGCATTGCAGTATTGTCATCAGATAGTTCCACAAACTCTTCAAGGTCCAATTCTCCTACTGACACGTAAGCAGTCATTCTCTTTGTAACTACAGAGAACTAAAGTTTGATGTGGACTTCGTATTGAATGTATCACAGGAACATATAGCAGTCACTTTTTTAAGTACTTTGCTGCCTTGAGAACATTGTTGGCCATTCTGTTGAATCTGTATAGTATGAATTACGGACACCATTATTAAATAAACCACAAAAAAAAAAATATGTCATTCATAAGTGTCTGTATTTTACATTTTCACAGAAAATTCTTGGTTATTGTTGACACCTTTTTCTGGGCAATATTCTTCACGTTTTCATTCAACCTGAAGTTCTTGCCTGCTGAATACTCTTTTGGTGGTGCAAGGATTTGAAGGTTACAGTGTTAGAAATATAATAATAATGCGTTTCTTCCACCTATCTAGAAAGACATGCAGATGCATGCAATAAAATGCAAATTCCTCAGGTTAGTTCCTTTGGCTCTCCATGTCACCCTGCAGCTTGCTTCTTGCCCCTATACCTCTTCTTCTGTCCTTTGACTGGTTTCACTATGGCATTTTCGTTGGGGACTTCTCGTTGTTGGGCCACCTCAGGTTTCCTGTCCACTGAGGTTGGCTCTTTTTCTTCTAAACATGCCTCCATCTCTTTGTACGCCATCGTCTCTTTTCTGGTATCCGTTGTTTCTTCTTCAGGTTCTACAACAGGTATCACTACGGGGATCTCTTCTTGTTGTGCCACCACAGGTTTCATGTCCACTGAGGCGGGCTTTTCTTCTTGACGTGACACCATCTTTTCCAGTCTTGCCAAGAAATCTTGGTTGGCTCTCATGTTGACATCAGTCCTTGCCAGCATTTCCATCATCTGCTGCATCTCCATTTTGTAGCAGTAAAGTACTTGAAGCACAATAATTAGTGTGTTGCGTGTTCAAGTTCGTAATCAATTCTGACACCAAATTGTCACTTGTTGGGTATATAATGTGACATAACTTCACGCTGTATTGGATATAGTGAATTTATTGCACATTCGCTCCACACTTATACAGTTCACAATCTCACAATTACTGCCATCAGCAGTATCACAATTACTTTTTCTGCTGCAGTCAATGTCATTCACATGTAACTGGCTCAATCCTCACTCACTACTCACTACTCCTGAATAGTGTTCGCTGCTCCTTATTTAGGCTCGGCACGGACAACATAGAAAACAGTTATGTGATAGGTACCACAGTTGCATAACGTCGTGTTTACAGATTGCTTAGGAACAGTCATTGCACGGACTCCCCTGTTGCATGATGCCGTGTTTACAAAGGCGTTCCTGGGTAATGCTGCCGAGAGTTGTTTATTGCTGCAGAGAAACCGTGGTGTCCCCTGTTACATCACTGCGGGGGAAGGGGGGATGGGGTGTTTACCGAGCGTTGCATCCATGTTACAATATTTTGTTTTTACATTAAATCAAGAAGGAACTTAAATTGGGGTTACATAGAATTGGAACAGATAGTTGCATTCAATTGTTAATTAAAGTATTTCCTTTAATCTTGAGAACTGAGCAAAATGTATATCACACTGTATACAATCAACAGAAAACATTGTATGGTGTGCCTGATTGTATAATGATTCCTATTTAAAGCCAAATTCCTCCTTTTTATACTCATGCTCTAATTTTGACAACAGATCTGTAATATATGTATATATACACAGTATTTACAGTGTTTTAATGTGTTGAGGTATATATTACATCTTGTATGTTTTATGTAAAGTGAGCAGTTTTGAAGAAGCTTGTTAAACATTTCATTCCTGAGTTATTTGTTATACTAAATATTAGCTTCATGTGCATCTTGCCCTCTTTATAACTTGAACTGTTTGTTCTTGTGTGTTATGAATTCTGTATGTCTTTGTGACATGTTTTGGTTTCATATTACTTTATGTTTTATGTTGCATATTTTAGAGTTTATGCTTTTTTTCAGTTTGAATTTAACATTTGTCTAATGTTGTCTTGCCCACAGTTGCAATGGTAACGCACAACCGTTGAATCTTACAATATCACACAAGATCCGGCGCCGTACAGCATTGCCTGAGGAGCTACTTTATCCTATAATTTCGTCAACCACTAACCAGGACCGGCTGGCCATCACCGAATTACCTAGCACCACAGTCACCCAAGAGGAAATAACAGATTCAAATTTGGTGCCATCACCACTAGGTTGCACCATTGTGCGGGTTCCAAGTGCACCAGGCTCACTCAAGTATGTCTGGCCTAAGATTTCTGTTTGGTTAACTCAAGAATCTGAGGTGTTAGCCTGCTGTGGTATTGTTTTCTGATTTGTATTACAAGTGAAATGTTCATCTTGATAATATATCCAGCCACTCAGTCTCAGAATACTGGACATCCATGCTGTAACTGAGGCACCTTCCTGAAGATCTCATTATAAATAACTTTCTGTTCATATGAAACTTGAAAGTCCATTACTGGCACAATAGAGCATGCTGCTATACCTTATCCTGAAGCAATTCAATCCATGTGACTTCATACCACTCTATTTGTCAAGATCTATTTTATATTTTCCTGTAGCTTTGGTCTTTCAGGTTTGCCTCTTGCCATAAGATTTCTCCACATATATTTTGTATACTGTCACTTGTAGTTCTTTTTATAGACTGGGTTTGAATTGGTGAATGGATTTATTGACCACTGATATACCTGACTCAGAACTACAAACAATTATAGTGCCACTGCTAATCTCCACAATTCACAAATTACCACAGCACCTGCTAAGCCTTTTCCACTCTGCTGTTTCCTCACCAGCTGTTTCCTGGCAACAGCTTCTAACGTGGAGATTCTTCAGCTTCAGTGCTCAGGTGCTCTCTTCACAGGCTCCCATACAGAACTCTCTGTCACCCCACTTGTCTCAAGATAACTCCTTGGCACAGAATGCTTAGAAACACCCCGTTTGCAACAGTACCTGTATTGTTACATGACGATTTGTTGCTATGGGAATGAGTTTCCTGAACCATTGCCTAGAAACATCTTTGGTGTTGTCACGTATTGGGTGTATAACGCGACAAATAACTTCACGCCGTATTTGATATAGCGAATTTTATTTCACATTCGCACTTACAATCACCCAAATTACAGATTTACAATTACTGCTATCTGCAGTATCACAAATACTACACTCCAAATGCCAGAATACAACTGACTGGTTGCTGGCTAACTTGGAACTAACTCGGAGGTAGCTCGAGGACTAACTGTGAATAGCCTTCGCTTCTCCTTATGTAGCCGCGTTCGGACAATACAGAAAACGCCCACATAATAGGCACCCTGTTGTCTGGTGCATTGTGCTAGTAACGCTGTGTACCGCTGTTACTACCGTCGTCTCTCGCAACCACTGTTTACCCGCGCTGCCTAGCAACCATGGTACCCCTTGGTGACGTCACCGCTGTTGACTCGCGTTGCATAGCGACCAGGATGCTGGGACTCGGCTAACTTCGGCTCCGCTCGGCGCGTCAGCTCCAGGGGAAGGGTCCAGCTAGCGCAACATGTCACACTGTATTCCCCTATCTCGCAGTCATTGCGTAGCAATGGTTCTACATGCTACAAAACTTTGTTTCATTGTGATGTACTCAGCCTATCTTGATAGCCTTGACTGAATTACTGTACAAACTGTCAAATCTGTAGAAGATTTAAAATGTATAATTATTTGTCATTGTTAATAGGGAGAAAATGTTATATGCTTCAAACTTTATTTAGGCTTTGCTTGAGCACCATGCAATTTGGAGTGGAGGTAAACCTTGCACTTTTAACCTTGGAACCTCATGGAGATGAGGAAGAGGCAGCAGGGCATATAACATGCTTGGAGAAGCTGAGAAATGTGTATAGAGATTTGGCCAGAAAACCTGAAGCAAAGAGGCCATTTGTGAGATGTAACTGTAGGTGGGAGAATAATATTAAAGTAGATCTTAAAGAAATTATGGGGAAGGTATGGATTAGATTTATGTGGCTCAAAATGGGAATCATTGCCAGTCATCTGTGAGCATGGTAATAAACCTGTGGGTTCCATGAAAACAAGGTATTTCTTGACAGGCTGAGTGACTGTTAATTTCTCAAGAAGGACTCTTCTCTGTGAAATTAATTTATTATTTTTATAGTTATCTGAAACATATGCAGTATACTGTATATAGTGTGTAGTGAATAGCACTGTCAACATTTGGTTTAGAAAGATAATCTTTACTAGCTTGTTCTTGAAATGTTCAATATTCAAGCATATATCCAACCCCAAAGTACATATTTTTTTAAAATATTTCCCTGAAGAAGTTTATTGAGTATTAAATTTAATGGGCATATCGTAGAAAAATGTGCTGCTTTATCATTTTTGTAATTTTCACCCCTACCCTTTTCTGCTATAACAGAGAGAGTTGAATAATGTTAAATGATGCTGCTTGTGTACATGTTTCAGCATGTATCTGCTAGACATGAACATTAATTTGATAAATTTAGCATGCTTAAATTCAGTATATAACAAAATGCAATGTATTCTGTGTTCTTTTTCCATGGAATTCCATACAGAATTTGAATTTTTTAACATCAGTTTACCATATATATACGTATATATATATATATATGCAGAGGCTGAAGTGCATTTAAGTGGAAGTGTTTCTGTGAGGGTAAAATGAAGTAGCTGTTACCTGATTTGAGTAGGATTTAGTGTTATGTCACTGATACTGAGTGCCATACGCATGTGTACTGCCAGGATACTTTTGAAGTGGGGATAGCTGAAAAATGTGCATACAATGTTATATTCAGGCTGTTTAAGACTGTTTTTGCTAATCCCTAGCTTCCCACCCCTGCCAGTACCATGGTCATTTCTTTTTAATTAGATAAGTTTTCTGAATGTCTTTCAAAGTATTTAGTTGGGAGAAATGATTCTTGAGCTTCATTTAAATATTTTTTTGAGTTTCAAGTGTTATTTCAATATAAGAATATATCATTACAGCAGAACAGTAACAGCTAATAGGCCAGACCAGCTGAAACCATCACCAGTAGCAACGCGTAAAGTGTATGACCGACAGGAATCAACCTCACCCCGTCTTACACGTCGCACAACAAATCTTGCACAGGGCAGCCTCTTGGGCAAGCCAGGATCTATGTGAGTAACCATAACCTTGTTATTGATATAGGTCTACCTTTTTTTCAGTTGAATTTATGGTTTCTTTTGTATTTTTCTCTAAGTTTTAAATTGTGATATGTAGCAGGAATGTTCACCCCAATGTTGACTTCATTTTGTAGATAATATTTTCTCTTTTTTATCTACTTTTCTCATGTTTTCATATCAGCTTTGCTGTGTATGAAAGGATGACTGATTGTACAGATATCATGTGACTTTATGTCATTACTTCAGGATATCTGCTATTGAAAGAAAGAAACAAAAAGAAGTAATTTATTGGGAGAAAGATAAAACAATAACACTGTACAGTTCACATCCCTTAAAGTAATTGTTCCAAGTGAAGAGTACTGTTTTCTGAGATGTAACACAATACAGCCCACTGAATGTCAACCGATGTTATAAAGGAACTTATCACCTCCATCTTTAGAGTCAAAGTAGGAGACCAGCATGAACGCTGAGCTCTGCTTGTCACTTGCTTTCATTCTGGTCTCCTGCTGGTCTTATTCTTTGACCCTTAAAATGGAAGTGATAAGTTCCTCTGAAATGTTTGTTGACTTTCAGTGGACTACACAGCGTTACATCCCAGAAGATAGTACTCTTCATGGCCACCACTGTGAGAACCTCAAATCCTACATAATTGTTCCAAACGTCTGCACAGCCTTGTTTGCTCTGTTAGAGAACTGCAGAATTATTGTGGCATTTCACTGAAGTAGTTCATCTCTTGTGTTTACCTTGAATTTTTGAACCCCATACATGGTAATCTACTGAACCCAGTAGTCAGTTGAGCGTACCATCATTGCCAGCCCATTGTCTAGGGAACTGTTCTTTCCAACACCATGTGAGGTTCCTACTGAAATACGTGTGTGTTTTTATGTATGAGAGCATGCATGTGTGCACATACTCCATCATGCTGGTAGTATTTCTGCAACTGTGTCAGCAAGGAAATGTTCTCTAAGAAGGCTGGCAATTCATTTTACAGAAGTATGATGTATGTTTGAAATACTCATGGGTCCAAGACCATTGAGAATAAGACCCATGCTTATGTAATATTTTTCAATGAGAATAGCCTGAGGAATCACTTGCTGAAGTTATGATATAAAGTCATGGTACACTATGTAGTTGTCTTGATTTTATGGTGAGGTCTGAGGTTCTGTCAACTGTGTATATCAATACTGTGGTCTTATGAGCTGTGACACTGTATAGTTTGGGAGAAGTTTACCAGTGTTTTCATAGAATCTGTTTCCATCTTCCTCTACTCTGAAGGTGGAGGCAGCACATCACGTAAGACTGTAGTCCCAGTGATGTTATTTAGCAGAACCTATCCAAATTGAAGCCCACAATATCAACAGGCACTTGTTCCCCATCACCTGTAATGGGATGTGCCACTGGAATGGACCAAGGCATCCACGGTGCTCCTTTCCAAGATCCTGCACCTGGTGCGTTCGCCAATGGTAGTCACAGTGTTTCATTTGGGAATAATACCATGGAATATACTGGCATCACAGACCAACTTCTAATGGATGTGGCTGATACAAAACAGGCTACCCCAAATTTTGCTCAGACATATAGTAGTACTGCTGGAAGCAGCGTCATCAGCAGCGACTTGAAGCACAGAGCAAATGATGCTCGAGATGGTTCAAGTTTGTATAGCAACAGGCCTGACCAGAGTGGTCACTTATCGCTTTTCCTGGATAGTCTCTTTCCAAAAACAGAAGATCGCATTAAGTGGAAGAGACTGTGGACCTGTCGTCTGACAGATTACTGATGAATGACTACACAAAGAGATTTTAAACTCTCTTATTCAAGAGTTTGGACTGATGATTTAATGATTTCTGCCTAGTTTGTAATTTGGCTTGCACAGATTGTAGTGTCACAATGCTTAATTTCCTTATGTTTTTGTATGGTTAATCCATGCCAAAATACAGGTTCCAGGATAACTCTTTTGATGTGTAAATAAGTGTTGTGCTAAGTGGATGTAGAAACAAATGAAAACTTCTGAACAATTGACAGATGCGTGCTGCAACATGTTAATGCCCTCAGTTACCAGTCCAGTAAAATTTTGTCAGTATTGCAGTTGTAAAGTTTGAAACATGCCAGTTTAAGAGATGTAAACATTTAATATAAAATAATATCATATAATTTTCACTATCTAATACAATTATTTTTAGAGATAAGGTTTTTTATATTCTTGGAGTCACAAAAACTGTGTTCATACTTTGAAAGATTTTGTCTATATATATATATATACATATGCAGCGACCATCGCACAATAAGCCTTATTGCACATACAGCAAAGATAATAGCAAAGATACTTAAAAGAAGAATCAAAAGGAAAATAGAGGATAT